ATTAGGACAATTTTGCTGTTACACCTCGCATACTCATTCATAGAACACTATAATACAAGAAAAATATAATTGTATGCACCCAGAAAGGCAGAAGTTATAAAAAGGAAATAAAACATATATATCAGCACAGTGTGTGTGTCGTTGAGAGAACAGGAACCAGGTGTCTGCGTTGAAATTATGTTGTCGGTTTTATCTTGAAAAGAGATCTGTGGAACCCAGGTAAAAACTGTTGAAAAATTCAGCAGATTTATGTATTATTTCTAAAATTCATTTTTGTGCAAAACATAGGCTTTAATTTTAATTTCGACATTCGCATATATTAACCAAACAGCGACGTCATTTCAAACACGCTGAAACCTTAGAAATTTCAAACAATTATATTTGTTGTCTGCTTCAAAAATTGATAAATCGCTCCAGAGAATTATCAACAACCATCTCCCCCCCCCTAAAGTAGATATTCAAAAATTGGGAGAAACATTTAGTAGCTTATAAATCTCAGTTTAGCAAGCCAATTTTTAGCTTCTTCGAGACTATTGTCTATAAATATTCGTGTCGTTAAGTTAGTATTTAGTTTTTCGTTTTATTCCGTAAGCCTTTGTATCGGGTTCTACACAGCTAATTACTCAAAACATTTTGCATACTTTATTAGTCAACATTTTACATGTTTTATCGAGTAAAGTATTACAAAATCCCACCGACTTTTAAGTAAATTAAAAACACTTGTATCATACTAACGGAATTTTATGAAAAAACGTTAGAAATACTTATAATACAGCTTTCCCGTCTGCTGTCATGCTCACTACTAGAAAAATTACAAGCATTCATGAAGCAACATAAATACGTGACACTCTTATGTAGACACATTTTGTTTCTTCTATCACGCTAACAATATTGATTCTGTTGTATTGTAAAGAAAATATTTTTGCTTCACAAAGTTCATTGTCATTCGTCATTTTTTCAAATTAAAAAAATACAGACACTCAGTATTAAAATTTATTTAAACTTTATAGAGCAGGGTTTGAATATTGTTTATTTCTTCGTTTTCCACACGAACTCCTTGTATGAGAAGGAGACGTGTCTTGACACTATCTCGTTCTAGAAGAGGAAGCTGGTTTATATCGCCGGTTTCCATGCCACCTAGCGGACGTTAAGTTCATTGGCAGTAATTGTGGGGTATCTCTTACATCTGAGGGTGGCCGAAAATACACTAACATAAACAACGTTATACATGTGTTAAACAATAAAACGGATATTAGTCCGAATTTAAATAGCAAGAATGCTCGTTAGAAAAGTTTTATGATAGAATAACGATGAGTTTTCTATACTATCGTTTACCAAGTACTTGATCCAAGAGAGACTGAAGATAGAGGATTACGGAATGAGGATGTAAAAAAGGGAAGTAACAAGGGCATATTACAAGGACATGTAAGATAACGGTTGATCATAAACTTAAAGATATTAGTCTTCTAAAGTGTCTCTTCCACGAAGTAATGGTTCTAGGGAAAAAGTTGAATTTCTTTCCTACAACGGAAATAGAAAGGGAATGAGGATGACTCGCTGTGGGACTGCTAACTTGTTAGAATCCTTCTCTGGAATTAAGAAATTCTATTTCGATGGACTTTCAATTTACTGAGATTTATCCCTGGTTTACCTACTTTGCCGTTTATTGAGAATCGTTACTGTTCAAAAGAAATGAAAATAAGGATCTGTAATGTAATCGATCCCGACTCGGCATCTAGAGTTCAGTCACATTATCACCGACAGGAAGTGATTTCCCTCCGTCTTTTTATGGCATCTGCTGAGATATTATCCCTAGCGCTCAACTACATGAATTTAAGGGTGCGACTACATTGGTATCTAGGACACCTAGAGACCAGTCTAGTCGCACCCTTAAACGTTTAGTACTGAAATAGCTAAATGCAACCACCACCTCTACTACAACGGTTTCTTTTCACGTACTTCTCTCCCTTTGAACACTCTTCTGTTTTTTTGCTTCCCGGATAACTACAATCTACAAAATATTAAATGCAATGTCAATCACCATCTTCTGTCTGCTGGAATCCTCTTCATCGTTTGTCTTTTCCTCAATCCTCCCTATTTTGATTCTTCTCTTTCACTTTCTCTTCCGGTGACCCACTGCGTACCACTTTGGTTGCGTTAAAATGGTCAAAAAAAATTCAAAAACTAAAATGACGAAACTCTTGGCAAGGACATGATGTTGAAGTGACTAATTCGTTTTTTTTACGGTTTATCAACACTTTTCATGGTATTTCAAGACAGAACATATTTTAGATTATAAGATTTTTTTTAGATAATACTGATTTCGTGATACTAGTTTTAATATTTAATCCATAGCTGGGGGATTTGAAGTGTATTCATACCCTTTCCGAAAGTATTTTCTCGTAAGTGAATATAACGAAACCAACAAGAATTAGAACCCGGCCCTCCGCTTAACAATTCCGAGCCATTATCCATTAAACATCCATATATATAAGCTAATAGCAACTGGTATTCCCAAACGGTCATCCATCTAGTACATATCAGAGTCGACGTTGCTTAACTTCAGTGTTCGTATGGGAACCGGCGCTTCAAGGTAATGTAAAATATAAAGCTTGTGAGTATCAGCGTATATTAGTTTTTTACTCAGTTATCTTCTAATCATTATCTTCTGTCTTCTTAATCCTTGTTCTTTTATTGCCTTCATTCCTTAATAGTAATTGTTCTCATATTCTCTACTACTCAATAACCGTATTGCGTCTTAGTGGCTTTATTACCTTGCTTAGTCTAAAATAATTAAAACAAATGTTTGTAGCAACTAATGAAAATATAACGTCCTACTTTGAAGTAATGATCTAGACTGCTTACAAGTGTCATAAACATTAACTCACAACTGAATCTTTTGATCGTATATATATTTTCTTAATGCCCTCTCTCCTATGAGGACGTGGGTAATCATAGCTCTCCACAAATTCCTTCTCCTTATTATATGTGACAATCAATGTCTTCTTAGAAAAGATAGTTGGATGGTTTCCCATTGCTTCAACATCCAATAGGACGTAGGTGACCATGAACAGATTCCTTTTCTTTATTAGCTGTGGCCTGCCATGATTTCTTCACAAATATAACAATGATTTCCTGTTGCCTTCACCACAAGCGATCATTTTTCTATATAGATTCATTTTTTTATTAACTCCGAATTGTTGTGCCTTCTGAGCAAATATTGGGAGATTGTCTCTTGTTACATTCTCCGTGGATTTTGATTGATATTATTTTTTTTTTTTTTTTTTATGAAGCCATGTCTATTTAGGACATTGGCGATCTTGGTTCTCCACGAATTCTTTTTTTTTTTATTAGTCGTGCGTTCTTTGGAAAGATTGTGAAATTATTTCCCATTGCTTTCTTTACGGGCATGAATTCAGAGAAGTTTGATGTGTTTAGGACATAGGCAATCATGGCTCTCCACGGATTACTTTTTTTATTTATTATCTGTGAATTGTTTTCTTGGGAAAGATAGTGATATTGTCAACGGTTGAAATTCCCACAGATTTGAATTCAGAAAAATTAGAATGTTTTTATCCTTTCAGGATATAAAGGACCCTGGACCTCCAAAGATTTCTTTTCATTATTAGCTGTGAATTTCCATGATTTCCTGGGGAAAGAATGCGGAGTAAATTCCGTTACGTTTTCCATGAACCTGAATTCAGAGTAATTAGATTTCTATGAGCAATGTCAGTTCAAGATGTATGCAGACATAGCTCTCCATGGATACCTTTTCCTTTTTAGCAGTGACTTGCAATATCTTGTTGGGAAAGATAGTGGATTAGTCTCCGTTGCCATCTCCACAGTTGTGTATTTAGGAAAATTAGATTTTTTTAATCACTTCTTTTCAGGGCGTAAGCAGTCATGGCCTTCTATTGATTCCTTTTCTTTATTATTTGTGAAGTTCCATGGTATTCCAAGGGGTTTAAATTAAGTCTAATAAGAAGATTTCTTAATGCCATGTCTATTCAGCAGGAAAGTGACAAAGCTCCCAGATTAATTTTCTTTATTAGTAAATGGCCCTGCAGTTTTTGAAAGATTATGAAATGATTTTAAATTGCCTTCTCGGTGGATCTCAATTGCGGGAAATTATTCAGGGGATAAACGTTCATGGATCACTAATGACTCATTTTATTTATTAGCTGTGAATTACCATAATTGGGGCAAGATAATAGAGTTGTCTTCCCTTACTTTCTCTAAAATAGAGGGAACACATTGAAAGTCATACATCTCTGCATGAGTTTTAGTTTCTCAGATTAGAATAATCTGAGAAATTGAAATTAGTGAAAAAATATGAAATGCAAAAAAGAAATGCGTCGATGTAATTAAATGATTTTTTATCTATTACACGCTGTTTACTTATTGCTGACATTTTATTAAATAAAGAAAAAATAAACATATTTTTATATTTTTTCTTCATTGTTCTTGCAAAATCTTGGATCAAAATCAATCTAAACGTTTACTGCAGGAGTATTATAGTGCGGACGCCATTACTTAATTAACGTCTCAAATAAATACCGTTACTGATATTAAACAAAACATAAAAAGGTGTTTTCCGTAATCAATGCAACATATTAATCTATGTATCTGCATACAAGCTATGTTTCTCATATGATTTGCTGGCTTTTGCTTGTTTTTTTTTTTAAGTTCCAAAAACTTAGGTAAAAACATAAGTTTATTTGAATCGTATATAATGTGTAATTTTCATACTGGGTGTAAATGAAATAATTACCAAATCTGAAACGGAAAAGAATGAGAAATAAAAGAGTTTTATTAACAAATCAAACAAAATGTCATATTTATACTTCTCAGCAGAACAATTATTATCAATTTAAGTTTAAAGTTTATTAGAACTTCCTCTTCTTCACCGATTTTATATATATTAATATGGCTCCAAACAATTTTTCCGTTTATTCTTAAAAAAAGAGTTTCATTTTATTTCATTTTGCTTTTTTCTGGGTTTTTTTCCCGTTTCAATTGTGTTAGCTTTTTTATTTATGCCGTGTATAACTCTCAAGCATTGTATTCAACTGTCAAGAGACTAGCGATTTTCAAAGATTATCTTTTTAACAGAAATGCACATAATGCATAATATAATAGAATCATATAGAAAAAGACTTGTCCATTCTTTTTTCTAAATAATACAAAGCAATTATATCTTTTTTATGTTTGGAAATAATACATTTCTCCTTCAGAGGCAGAACTTTTTGCAGTTGTATGAATTGTGATGTTTTTGAAGTTGAAATAGAAATCTTGATAGTTTGTTTATATTAAATTTCAGCTGTTTAACAGAAGCACGCAAAAATATAAAATCAAACCAACATTCTGAAACTACTTTTTATAGAAACAAAATTGGTTGACGATAAATAAGGATCGATCCTTGGAAACCTCTAAACTGTTGAGGCTTATAGATGCAAAGCTAGTTATTCCATATTCAACAAAACGAAGTAGAATGAATTCTGGGAAGAATTTTTGTAATAATAATTCGAAACTATCCAAATGATGTGTTCGCTGTTTTCATACGATACTTAAGTTTTAGGCAAAGCAAAATTACATTATTATTCTCTTGGACATATGACCTCATTTCAAGTATGAACTTTACTAGTTTATTTTTTATTTTTCAGGGCGTCAACACACACAGGACAGAGAATTAAATCTGAATGTCTTATTCGTGATGCATTGGAACTTATTGGCTATGAAATATCTTGCTGAAATTAACAGTTTAGTCAAATGTTATATGATATGAAGGAAAAATCAAACTATTCCAATTTATTTTTTTATACTCTTAAATGGATTATTTTTAAAATGACTTTATAAAAGAGTTTGTGCCATTTAAAAAAAAATTGTAATTTAAAGAAAATAGCTGTCAATAATTGTCATTCTGTTTTTCTGTTAAGCGATCATGTCTCTCCACAACTTCCTATCCTCTGTATCTCTAAGCAATATTTACTATACCTCATCCGTTCATACATGTTTCTTCGGTAGTTTTCCCAATAGTCTATTTTGTCTATCCTGTATCTTTTGCGAGTGTCACATTTTCCAAGCCCACTTTCTTCATTATATGTCTAAGAATTTTCAACTGTGTAAACTGTGTCTTTCTGATTTCAAGTAATTGTGTCCTACTGTTTCAATTTTATATTAATTTTTTTTTTCATATTTCATCCTCTGCATTTTCACCATTCTTCGATAGAACAACACCATTTTTGGCTTAAGTGTCCTCTTCATTTGCAAAGAAATAATCCAATCGTCTGTAACATATAGTAGTATTGATAACAGTTCAGCACGTTTTTTTTTCTTTTTTCTAAAAATATTTCCTATATATATAAACTACACAATTTGGCTTTCATTCTGGTAAAGTTGTAATTACGGCATATATTTGATGAAAAAAGCTGTAGAAAATTGGCTACCTCTCCAGTATAAAATTATATATCTGCTATGTTGACCTCACAGTGGTATATTATTATATAGACTTCCTCTTCTCAGCTATTAGAAATTGTCTTCCAAACTGACTCCAATGGATATCTATTACTGATAGAGGAAATATACCGGTCCACAAAATCGGATATCTCTGGTGAAGACCCTAATACCTAAAAAGTCAGGCCTCATCAGAACTACGACAAGTAGTGGATAAGTGAAACAAACCGTTTCATATCTTCATTGACTATACTCTGCCCATATACAAGCACAGGTATGAAGCGATGGACACTGACCAATTAAAAATTCCATACTACAGCCAAAATGAATCTACCAATAGAAAACAACGTTCCTGTTTGCCTGATCGAGGTTAATTTAATGAGGATTAAGTGAGCTATGCCGATTAGATAGCTATTCATATTTGGGATAAGAATGAATTTGAACAAGAAATGATCATTCTCGCGAAGAAGAACAAAACATCAGATTAATCTTTTTAAGGCATAACAAAAATCTAGTTTTCAGTTCGCTCTACGTTTAGGAGAACTGTAAACAAATCATAACGCCAAACGCTTAAAAAATTTGGCATTTGCTTTCAGAAAGAAATGTTTACGCATGGCCAGTTGTATGTTGCATACTCAAGGGTAAGAAATCCTAAGAATTCATTCCCCGCTTTTAGAGAGAGCAAAAAGAAAAATTAAAAATATTATTTAGCATGAAGTCCTATAAAATTAAATTAAATTAAACAAATTATTAAACCGCAAAGTAGGGTTTTTGTCTAAGTATTTTCCAAATAAATCAGCTTATTCACATTTAATCGATTGGTTTACGAAATTGAACGAAACGTAGAGTTTGTAAATCCCGACGAAAAATGTTTACGATAATATAATACTATATAGTTTCATGATTTCATCACGCGTCAGCCTGTTTTTAAAAAAATTGTGTATTTAAAATGTATGTTTTTATTTTTTGAAGTCGATTTTTTTTTTCATATTTATTTAGCTTAGCTTGGTTTGGGACGTGGTCAAATGTGAAGTAAAGTGGGCAAGTCAGATTATATGGCAAGTTTAGAATTCAAATTCCTTAATTTTCATTTCCGTTTAAACACAGACCACTTGAGCAGGATACAGCTATATTACTTC